GATCATCACAAAGCATGGGATTCAGTTTGTAATATTTATCAGCACGCGATGGCCATAGAATTAGTTTGGCCTTATGTTACTTCAGATCCTAGTCCGACTGTTACTGGATATCTCAATTGGGTTAAGAACCAATAAGATGAGTTATATAAATTAAAATATGAACAAGTATATTAGTAATTTATAATTTAATAATTGCAAATATTCAAAAAAAAAAAACTAATACTTATTTTTTTTTAGATCTTTTTGTATTTGCAAGTCATAATAAATTTTCATGTCAGAGTTAAACTTAATCAGCCCTTACTTAAATCAGCCGCGCGTAGAGCATTTGCTCCTATTTGGTCTGTAAGGCGACATCCTATTTATCAAGAAATCAAAGTAGCTGATAAAGAACAACTAATGCACCTTCGTCCTAAAATTTGGCAACTTATTGAACTAAATTCAGTTATATCACGATCAGGATGGCCGAATCAGCATCAAGGATTAGATGCTGTACTTGAGGAAATTAATAAAATGCTAAAAACACTTATTCCATCTATACCAACTCAGAAACATGGGAAATAGCAGCAAGAAATTGTATTAAATTTATGAAGGCAAAATAATAAATTTTAATGTTATTTAATTGTAATACTTATCTTTTTTTTATGGATCATTTTATTTCTTTATTGAAGTTGCGGAAGAGATTATTTACTACAATCGGATATGCAGATGCTGAAAGTGCTGGTCCACGAACGCATCCAGATTTTGAAATAGAATCACAACAGTTCCAAGTTCAATTGAGAAAAGCCGGCTTCTTAAATAAAGATAATCGTTATATTGAAAGTTTAGACGGATATAATAAATTGAGTGAAGAAATGAAATCATTTAGTATTATAGCTCAAACTCAACGTATAAATTACATCAAAGAAAAATTAAGTTCAAAGAAACAATTAGTTACCCGTTCCATTCCTGTTACAATTGATGAAGCATAAATACAATCAGCAGAAAGTTCAATGAAGAAGAAAGAACTGATATTGATAATCGAATCACTAATCGGATCTTTAAATGAGACTAATTGGCCACAATTTCAAGGATTAAAATCGAAAAGAAAAGATGAGTTGTTAATTATTCTGCAAGAAGTTCGTGATTTAACTAATGGTAATGCATGTAATGAAATAAATTGAAAAAAGTCAAAGCTTCAATAAATATTTGCAGGATTCTTCATAATCTCACTGAGCCTCTTCTTCGGACTAAGTTAAAAAATATATATATTACAAGTATAGAGATTGTGGATTTTTTGAATGGAACCTTTGGTTAGTTATTTTTTTAAGAAATCTTTGCGTAAAACTTTATCGTTTCCATAGTTTATTACATTATTAGATTATCGTTATATTAGCACATGATATATGATTATTTATAGCCAATAAAATTCTGTATTACCGAATATCATCAGATTTTTAAAATGTAGATCATTGCCATATTTGGAAATACTATATATGGAAAAACACCGGACTGAATTATCAGATCCATCATGTAAATATGCTTTAGGATAAAGCCCAGATGTTCGATCAGTATACTTCTAAAGTGATACTTAGAGGTGAGACTTAAATATATTTGCTCTAAAGGTAAGGCTGTATACTTTGAGATGAGATTTAGAGGGCTGAGCCGTTAAGACGCTTTGCAAGACGTATTGTATGAGACTTAGAGGTAAACATATTTTATGTATATACTCCATTTCACTCTGTAAATTTTGTGAACATTATATTTGCCCTAGAGGTTAGATTTAGAGGTAAGATTTAGAGGTGAGACTTATTTTTTTACCTAGAGGTTATACTTAAAGGTGAGACTTAGAGGTGAAACTGTGTACATGCTCTGCTTCACTCTATAGACTTTGTGAACATTATATTCGCCTTAGATGTTAGACTTAAAGGTGAAACTTATTTTTTTTGTCTAAAGGTTAGACTTAGAGGTGAGACTTAAATATGTTCGCTTTAGAGGTAGGATTTATTGACTATATATTTATATAAAGAAAATGCTTTTAGAATAGTTTCCTGTATATCAAAAAATAATGATATGCTAGAATTGACTCAATAACTCGCTAAATTTCACCTCAAAAAGGTGAGACTTAGCGGTGGTTATTTATATCAATGAATTAGCTTTAGAATTAATTCTAGGATAACATGAAATATAATATGCAAAATGAGCTTGCAAAATCTCACATAGAATACACTTGGATACTTCAGTTCTTGGTACTCTGAGTTCGATTTAAGGCCAAGCAAAATAGCATACTTATTTTGTTATATTATTTAGGATTAAAAATAGGCCAGCGTGTTAACAAAGATGATGTATATCTTAATCTTGGAAACTTAAAATTTGGGTAAGAAGGTATGGTTAACAGAATTTGTGTCTAGCTTGATTCAAAACTTGAATTCAATATTGGATTTTGATATATTTCCTGATTTTGTAGATTAATTTAGAGTTCAATAAAAATTTTAAAAATTCGTATATTAGGAAAGTGATTGGGAAGACCATACACTTATGTATACATATTTGGAAATTTTTGTTCTAGAACTCCCATATGTGTCTATATAGGGTAACTCAATAGTATACATAATAATTATTAAATAGATTTCTAAGAATCATTATTAAATCAATTTCACTCTCATAAAATTTTCTTTTTGACTGATTCTTTTAAATGTTCTTTAAAAGAATTATATACTAATATTAATAGATTTTTATAAATATATTATTTAATCTTATTTTATTAAGAAAATTTATATAATTTAATATTAATTTTAAATTTATCTAACTATTCTAAAACTAATTATAATACTAAAAGAATTTCTTTTTTACATAAAATTTATTTTTCTTTAAACATACAAATAGGAAATAATTTAGTTTTATCTATTATAGTAATATAAAGTAATAAAATTTTTTAATACTAATAATTTATAATTATTTAGAAGAAAATTACCATAATTAAAAAAAAATCATGAAGAAATCATAATCAAAAAATATCTTAAATTTTTATTCTATAAAACTTAAATTAGTATTTTCATATTATCACAATTTCTGATTTCTTAAAATAAATACAATTTATCAAATGAAGTATATTTATAATACTAATTAATTATTATAAATCCTTAAAAATAAATCCTATTTATTAAGAAAAAATTTAATTCTATCTTTTCTTTTAAAATTTATTTATTATGAACTATAAATTTTGATTTTGTATATTTTTTAAAAACTTAGAAAATAAAACTTAGAATTATAAAAAAAATAAAAAAAGGTTTACCTGCAACTTATGTTAAAATGATGATATATCAATTTTTTATTATAGTTACATAGATATAAATAGTCTTTTCACTTTTAGATTAATGATAAATTTACTAGTTATCAAATTAAACAGGTATTTCATTCATATTTAAAATATTTTCAATTTGTAAGATAATTTCAGCTTAAGATAAATAATATATTTATGGAATTCCTCTAATGTTTACTTAGAAGTTTTTAGGAAATTCTTATGTATTATCATAACGTCAACTTGTATCTTCTCAAGAATGCTATTAAATAATGCTAAAATATCTTAAAATATTTTGCCAAATATTTATAAAATTCTAATATATTCTTTTTTGTAAGCTTTATAACCAGAATTGACTCATTTGCTTATTTCATTAAGCTAATCAGTAACTGGATTTAAATGATCTTGATGTCATTGAAATCATCTTAATGAGAGAAATCTCACGGTAGTAATAACTTCTATCTTTTGTCTTCTATCTTTTATTTTATGGTATATGAAGTTTATTTATGCTTAATAACTTTTGCTTTACATTTAACAACTTTTTTATTAGGCATTTATATAAATTGATAAAAGTATGACATTAGTATGTATCACAAGTATCATATATTAGATGAAACTTATCCAGTATCACCATAAAATTTTTGTACCGCCATATTTACCACC